TGTATATATATATATATATATATATATATATATATATATATATATATATATATCTGCACTGCCCAATCTTAACTAAAGTTGATCAAAATTTAAAAATTTTGATAGTTGTGAATCAATCATGGATAAGATATCACAAAGCAAAGATTTATTCTATAAAAAATAAAGGATTACGAAGGCTTTAACATTACCCGAAAATAATAGCGAAGAAATTGTAAACAGTAAGATTGCATTTACACAGATACTAATATGCTTAACTAGTATTCTAAATATATTATGCTAATATCTAATTATACTAGTTAAGTATACTATATGATTAGTTAGTATTCAATGCACAGAATTCATAATAATTTTAACACATTTTTTTATCACACTAATCGGTCAATTTATCAGATATAATTCTTTTACAGCAAGTTTCAATGTCCAATTAATTAAGGGAAAATATTAATACAATTTTTATGATAAATATCGGATATAACAATGATTATTTCTTACATCAAAACATGTGTTTCACATATTAGCACAATGACAGCTCAAAAAATAGCAAATAAAGTCTGTGTAGAATATCTTGTATAATATACATACACTCACTCTTGCGAATTGTCTAATAATAATTAGTATAAATTTGGCCATTTTTATAATTGTATTTTCGTTTATATCTAATATTAAAATAATTATGGTTCTTAGTAATATTAAAACTCGGTTCAACATTAAATAAAAATGTGATGCCAAAAATAAGGAGAATTTTTATGTAAATAAAAATTGTTACAATAATGAAATATAATTTTAACTGCCTAAATAAAAATGGTACTTAATACTAATGGTACTATATAGGACCAATGCTGCGAAGCATTCAAAATAATTGGCGATAATAGGATAACTGCCATACAGTAAGATTTTTTTAAAGAGATTAAGTGAAAGTGTGTATGTGTGCGTATATGTAATAAATTATATTTAAAAATATACAAGTTATCATTTAAGCACAATATTTGCACAAGATTCTTCAATCGGACGATATTACTGTTATTAGTATTATTGACTTTTATTCTAGTAAATAGTAAAGCAATGCAGTGCTATGTAAAATATATATTACATTTTACATATTAATATTCTTAAAATTATGTCACTTCTTGTAGAACACAAAATTAATATAAATTATAAGAAAACAAAATAATTATTTGATGTTAAAATACATTTGATAATATACATGTTATTTTAGAAAACAAATATGTATATACAATAGTTTTTAAAGATTGCTGATTATTATAATATAATATACTATGAAATAAAACGTATATTATAAAAATACTGTATAAAAGCTTTACATCCCAATACTTAAAATATTACATGAATATTTATGTTAATAGAGTAGATATGAATAGTGGTAATTTTAGGAATTAACAAAAATTTTATATTTATATAAAAATCTATAGAAAAACATAGTTTACGTTATAAATCTTTAATTATTTTATTATATTGATATCATATAGATGAACTTATTTAACAAATTTTCTTAAATACTTTAATTCGTGACACAACCAAACTATAGTACTTAAAAGGAAAAGGCTACCAGATTGATGAGATGCAGCCAGTGCTGTAGGAACATGATACAATAAAGTTGATATACCTAAAAGTACTTGAAGATAACCAGTGCAAAGTAATGCAGTTATTGCTTGTCTTCCTCGACCAGGAAGTTTATGTTTACGCGATACGATGCCCAGCAAAGTTATCAATGTTATGGTAGTAATTCCCTGTGTAAAAGGGGAAGAAAAAAAAATAAAGCATAGACAAAAATGATATGTGAAATAGTATACATACATAAATAATGTAATAACATACTGAGTGACTGTATGCTTTAACTCACCAGAATCCTATGGTTAAATTGAAGTGTGGTTGGATTTTCTGTGAAGTTTTTCCATGTAGGTGATTTAACAAATAAATCATCAGGTATCCATTTGTCTGCCATTTTTGGGAAAGTATTATAAATTAGACCAGCGTCCATTCCAGCAACAAAAGCACCTGATAAAGCAGTGAAAAAGATAAATCCTTTTGTTGTGTAAATCAAATTTTTAAATCTCCTCACTGCCTTTGTTGCATCATTTACAACTTTGGTAGAGAGATCAGCAATTGGTCTTTGAGCAGGCATTAAATGATCCAGTGCATTATAAAGAAATCCAGTATATATAAATAATGCCAATCCCAGATGCGCAGCTAACCGATACTGCGACACTCGTGGCACATCGGTAGGTTCTACAAAACGATCTTCTAGCCCAGATTTAACCATATACCATCCCATAAGTCCTTGCAAGCCAATTAACGAGCCTAAGACAAGAACCCGTTTTCTCATTCTGCTACTTAACATACCACTAAACCAAAACCATGATGCTGGAACTATAAATACAACACCAATTAACCGTCCCCACATTCTATGCAAATATTCCATCCACCAAATACACTTGAACTCCTCCAAAGATATATTCTGGTTACTTCTACAAAAATGTTCATTAATAGTACATATATCTATTCATTTTAACTTTTTTTTTAACTTATTATTTATTTATTTAACATTTTTTCACAAGTTAACTATTCACATACACATTGTGATAGTGCATATGATATTATTTCTTACATTTTATATTCAGGAAATTGTTTGTAATGTTCAAACTCTAAAAGCCATTGTGTTTCATTAAGAGGCATTTTTTCTCCTAACAAGTTCCAAGTAACCATGGATAAACCTGATTCGGTTAGTCTTGTTATACCACCTGAATATACATATAAACAATTTCTTTTGGTGTTTAATAAGCATATTTTATTTTTTTCAAATAAATAATATCAATTATATGAAAAATATTACATGTACTTTACTTAAATATAGTGATATATTAAATTATAGAAATTATTACAATTCTAATCCTATTTGCCATAAGTTTTTTCTATAATAATTTTCATAATGATGCAAATGTAAAAGTAAAATATATAATAAATAAATATACCTAAAGTAACCGTTATAAAAACCATACCACTGCATGTGAGTAACCAGGATCCTACCATTTTGTTATATTTATTGTTTCCTTTTGAAGCATAACCACGAGATATGGTATTTATTTCTTTAATTTGTATCTATCGATAGTTAAAATTAGTACACCTAATTTCATAAAGATTATTTAATACACACAATATTAGAAACTGACTAAAGAAACTTTATTTTACCTTCTGTGATGTGAATAAGCGATACTTCAAAGAGATATTATGTTTTAAGTCAGTCCTTATATTTGTGAACAAGTACCTTCGACTAAGCATTTGCTTTGTGATGTTAAGGGTTCCCAATATTTTTGTATATTTCGTGATACTCATTTTTTATGCTGAAATATTAAAATTATTTATATACATAGAAGTAAATATTAATGAACGTAAATATATACCTAATTTACGTTAAATATTAAAATTACATTAAATATTAAAATTACATTTACATTGATTAATATAAAAACTCTTTTTAAAAACTTTTTTTAAAGTGCCTCCGAGTCCGCCACTGCTCTTATTTACAATATAAAAACTGCGTTCGCTTTGGACGCTAACGCGCTTATAAGCGTCGCTCACGTCGTTCGCTTTGGAGCAGGGCCGACCATGATGTAATGGTGCGGTCACACGGGACGGAACGTATGCGTGAGGGTGCGATTAGTGCTGCGTTCGGAAACGTCACTCGAATACTCTCCCTCTCTTTTTATCTCACTCTTGTATTTTGCTCATCCCAACGGGAGCGGTGCACTTGGACACGGTGCATTTGGACACAGCCAATCACAGCACCGTGTGATTAGAGACATTTGTAGGGACCCTTGGAACAGCGACTTGTGATTGGACTGTGTCCAATTGCCCCGTGTCCAACTGATATACACCCCATCCTAACAGCTCTCGTCTAGTAGTATGCGTGTTTCCACACAGTGTGTTTCCGAACGCAGATAGATGTAGCGCGGTATGCGGTATGTTGTTGTTGTTGTTACTTGTTGTTGACTGTTTAGTCGTGAAACTAATTCATTGACCACTCAAGTAAAACATAAACGTAATCAGCAATATAAAATTCTAATCTTGCAACAATACAGTTTACAGTTTAATCCAAATTATATCCTTCTATTAATCCTCCGAAAGAAAAGAGATAACTCCTTAAATGCACCTTCGTTGCTACTAAAAACTAAATCATCGAGAATGATAGGTTCAATTCCCCAGACGTTGTGTAGACCAATCCTCAGTAAGTCCGACTCCCGCTGATTACGTGGGCAATTTAAAATTACATGTTCCGAAGTCTCTGGCAGACCGCAATCACAAAGCGGTAGGTCATAGATATTTTTATCATATAAATGTTGCGCTACTTGTGTATGATGAGTCCGTAATCATGATACCATAGTTATAATTTCTTTATTGAGATGAGCATGTTGTAAAAACCAAGGCTTTAAATGATTTTTAATACGCGTTCTATGAAAATACCTGAAACCTTTTTGCTCCGAGGTGTCTCTAAAAAATTGCGCAACATTTTCATCCATGCGATCTCTAAGCATTCTACAAATAGTACTTGAGAACAGAACAGTTTTATGCTCTACAGATAAATTTATTCCACGGGCAGCGTTTTTTGCCAATTCATCAGCCCGTTCATTGCCTTCAACTCCAGAATGTCCCGGAATACAGACAATATCAAAGCCTTGCTTGATCAAGTAGCTATATATATCTTTGATAATATATACTAATTCATGCTGTTTACCAGCTGGGTCACATCTGCCCAGAGCCGCAATAAGACTAGAATCGGTGGGGGAGCGGTGCACTTGGACACGGTGCATTTGGACACAGCCAATCACAGCACCGTATGATTAGAGACATTTGTAGGGTCCCTTGGAACAGCGACTTGTGATTGGACTGTGTCCAACTGATATACACCCATCGGTGGCAATAACCATCTTTTTTGACTGTGTGTCAAACACCATGGTCAAAGCATGTGCAACCGCCGTAGCTTCGGCCTAAAAAATTGATAAGTCATTATCAAGTTTACAGCTAAAGGAAACTGAAGGGGAGAAGGAAAAAACCGAGCAACCCACCCCCACGTCCATTTTAGAGCCGTCAGTATAGAAAATACTATAATTAATATATTTGTATTTACCCAACATTAATATAAAATGAGAATTCAATTTATCAAAAACTTTAACATTATTTAACACTAGACTATTATTCTGTGTAAGTAAAAGAAAACGATTCATACATGAATCACTAATATATACATTAATATGTAACCGACAAAATATTGACTCCAAATCAAAAACCAAAGGAACAGGCAAATCAGATGTATACAAGTGGCGATAAAATTCCAAAAACGTAATATAAATTGTATAGAAAAATTGCTCGCTTACACATAACCGAAGATTCAGGTTCCTGTTAAATAAAGACCAAGCCAACTCTCTTACAGGGTGCTCTAATACATTAAAACGCCTAATTAAAAATAATCTAAAATTAAGTTCTTTTCGCAAAAACAAAGGAGCTTCACCAGCCATGTGGAGAAGAACATTAGTAGGTGTTGTATGCATAATACCCAAGACTATTCTCAAAGCCTCGAATTGTAATCTATCCAAAATTATTGCAACATTTGGTTTCAAATCAATGAAAGCAGGCGACCTATATTCCAAAGCAGATCTAATCCAACACTTATAAACATTAATTAAATTACAAGGGTGCGCACCCCACTGCAAACCAGAAATTGCTTTCAAAACTGGCAATTTTAATCTAACTTTTTTCTTAATTTCAACACAGTGTTTTTTCCAGGTTAAGCGCCTATCAAAATATACCCCCAGAAATTTAACAAAATTGACGGTAGGAATAACACAATCCTGAAACTTAACAAGTCTCCTTTTCTTAACGAAATTATCAACTTTCCTATGTCTATTAGCAGAAAAAAGACAAAAGGATAATTTAGAACTAGAAATATTCAAGCCTAGTTGACGAAGATTGTCATTTAAAACAATCATCGCCTCATTAATAAGTCCATAGACAATCGGAATCGACTGACTAGTTGTGAAGATACAAACATCATCTGCGTAAGCTAAGTATTTCACATCTTTATGTACATTATGGAAAATGAAGGAAATATAAATATCAAAAAGAAGTGGACTTAAAACCGAGCCTTGGGGAAGACCCATTCTCGCACATCTCCTACCAAGAGAAACACCTTCCATGTATCCATCAATATTCCTATAATATAATAAAAATTCCAAAAAACTTATGATTTTATTTGGAAGAAACATTTGCTTAAATAGTTGTATTAAAATATATGGATTAACATTATCAAACGCACCTTTAATATCTAAAAATAAAACTCCTGTAAAGGCATTTTTAAAAAAACGAACTCGAATCAACGAGGTGGTGTGAACGACGTAAAGCATTGACAACATAGTCAGCAGGTAAATTCACCCGTGAAAACTCCAGATCAACAAAATGTAATGGCACAGCCTTATTATAAGTAAGTTCAGCTGCATCCAGCTTGGCGTTGATGTCCAACATTGAAGATGATGTCACAGCACGACGAATTTTAAAAGCCTTCAAAGATCTCCACATAGTCCCAAGATCACAACGAGGGTTGATTTCAGAACAGAACCTCCTGAAATTATCAATTTTTATATTCCTAAGCCTTTTTTTAACATTAGCAGCAGTAATACGAAAATGATTCATATTCTCAATGGAAGAAGTAGAAACAAATTTGAAATAAGCCTTCTTTCTCTCCGAAATTAACGAATCGCATTCAAAAGTCCACCAAATAGCAGGAGGAACTCTTTTTTTACTGTTACACTTATTAATCTTAGCATTACACTCCATTAAAGTATTAGATAAACTAACAATAAAATTAACATAATCCTCGATCACATTCCTATAAGTGATAAAGAAAGACTTCAAGTTTTCCTCAAATCTCTCCCTGAAATCAACCCAAGATACCTCAGATAAAACCATGGAAGGACGACAGCCAGTTGGTAAGATAGACATACCATCAAACTTAACAATCGTAGGAAAATGATCACTAGAAAAATTATAATTCATGACCGAAAAAAAGGTAGACAAAGCAAGAGAAGAAGAAACAAAAGTATAATCTAGAACCGATCTAGAAGAACCATCGAAAGATGTCCAAGTCGGTAAACCACAACCAATATTGATAAAATTAGAGATAGCAATAGCAGATTCAAGATTACGACCTACTTCATTATACGCGACCGATACACTTGACCAAGGCGGAACGTGCGCATTAAAGTCACTCACCACAACATTATGAAAACCATCCAGAATCCCGAAAAATCTTATCCATAAGTCCTGATCCAAATCTGCAGCAGAAACTCTAGGGGGGTTATAAATAGAAATAACAATAATCGATTACATATTACTCAAAGAAACCTTCACCAAAATAAGATCTGTGTTACTATCAGCACATAATTTTTCCAGATCTGGAATTTTAAACACAGAAAAATTGACATTATCTCTTATTAACAGACCAATACCCCCACCCAAAGGTGCAGGTCTAGAAGAATTTAAAAATAAAAACCCTTTTATTGGGCAAATATAAGAGTTACTCAAACTCTGCGGAATTCTAGTTTCTGATAAACATAACAGATCCGGGGATTCTTCATTAATGAGAGCAATTAAGTCAGCCGATCTAGCTATAATAAAACAAACATTCTAATGAATTAAAGAAAAACTCTGTGAACAAACCATATTTACCCGATGCGCCATTTTACACACTATCACTAATTACGTACGATGAGAAAAAATCGTTAAGATCAGCTAAAAACATTTTCAACTCTGAAATATTAGGTTTATCAAGAAAAAAAGTAGAAACTCCAGGAGCCGGAGTAGAAGAACTACCTCCTGGAGTTGAAAAATTATTATTTAAAAAGTTTAGCAAACGTTTAAAGGCATTAACATTAGGCTTACTTAGGAGCTGATATAAATTTTGATTAAAAGCAGCTGTCGTGATTGTCGGGAACACTCTAGGACTATCCCTCAACCACTCTATTGAATGATCAACAACACCAAGACCTCTAACAGGAACCTTTTTCATCTCTTCACCCCTGGCAATCCTATCCATATTGGCAGCATCCACCGGGCGAAAATGCGCGGAAAGTCTAGGCGACCTATTAAAATCATCATTTGTAAGATTATCTTTTACAGCTAAAGGTTTTTTCTTTTTTTTTTCTCAGCCTTTTTCTTTTTTACCACATGTAATGTGGAAAGAAAACTAAGACGACTAAGACCTTCTTTTGAAGAGGAAAAAAGTTGCGGACTCACAGAAGAGCCATACAAGTCATCAGAACGCAAGGAATTCTTACCCAGTTTGCTTCTCCCAACCCTGTGTTTGTTGAGGATATCTGCATAAGTTACAGCAGCACGTTCCTTGAGCAATTTGGGCCAAAAATCCAAACCCGGAAACCGGAAGAGGAGGTCCATAAGCACCATCCACCTCCTCCGAGTTATCCAATCCACTAACACGAATAAAATTTTCAGCATCCAACGGGCTAAGACAACGTGTTTGTTATGTATATATATAGGACAACTATTACTGATAGCACTATGATTTGAACCAGCCAGTTTACCCCTTTAATACACAATTCCCTCACAGAAGTACACCCAGCGGCAAAATGTCCTGTCATGGCACATTTACTACAAACT